ACCACACCAAGGGTTGCAATCCCCTTACCGGTCACGAAAAAGACAAAAAAAAAAAAATTTCCCTTGTGATTTCTTTCACCTATGGATTATTTGTGTTTCTTAATTTCCAAACATTTGAAAGGTTTTCTAGTTTTTGTTTTTGTTTTTGTTTTTCTGTTACTGATGTCCAGTTTAGTTTCATTGTGCTTCAAGATTACACACTGTCATTTCCACCTTTTGAAATTTGTAGTGTCTTGTTTAAGGCCCAGAATATGGTATATCTTGATGGGTGTTCCAAGTGCATTTGAAATGAGGGTGCATTCTGCAGGTTTTGTTTTGTCATTCTTTAAAGGTCAATTAGGTTAAGTTGGTTAATGGTATCGTTCAAATCATTTATAGCCTTACTAATCTTTTGTGTGCTTGCTTTATCTTTTGCCAAGAGAGGAATGCTAGTCTCTACAGCTGTGATGATCAATTTGTCTATATCTCCTTTAGTTCTGCCAACTTTTGCTTTATATATGATGAGGTTATCTTATGGGCATGTACAAATTTATGTCTGTTGAATTGACACTTTTACCATCATGAAATGTCTCTCTTTATCTATCATAATCCTTTTTTCCTCAATGCCTATACTCTGTAATATGAAATAGTCACACTAGTTTTCTTTTGTTTGGAATTGGCATGTTTTATCTTGTTTAATATCATTTTACTTTTAACATTTCTTTGTCCTTATACATAAATTGTGTCTCACATAAAATGCATGTATTTGGATCTTTTTTGAAATCCAGTCAGTATAGTGTTTAGTCAACTTATATTTAATAAATTGCTGATATAGTTAGATGTATTATATATATGTTATGCAAAAAGACTCATTTGATTCTTTTCTTTAATAGATTACTCTTATTTGTTGGAAATGTTCATCTTTATTAACTCTTTCATCTTTTTCTCTATTTTCTTTTAAATTGTTTAAAGTCTTTATCAGCTAAATCCAACATCTAAATCATCTGTGAGTCTGCTTCTATTATCCATTTTTTCTATTTATTATTGTTTGTATTTTCTGCCTCTTTGCATGTCTCTTAATTTTTTATTGTTGCTGATCTTTGTGTATAAAATATGAATTGTATATCAAACAAGCAAATGAAGTTTGTATTAGTTTTTCCATGAGTGTTTGTCCTTTCCTCTGTTAGGCAGATAGTGGGAGGGGCAGAGCATGTCAGTCCACTCAGAAGTGAGCAGGGGTGGCTGGGAGGTGGGTTTGCTAGATGCAATCTGCCTTTCTTCTCCTATAGCTGG